AATGTTATTATTAATATAATAATATATATTTATTAAATAGTATTGTTTGTGAATTGTTTTTCTCTTTTTTCCATTGATTTGATCATTTTTTAGAATTTTTGTCTAGCATTTATTATTATGCATTTAATTAATGAATTAATTAAAGAAGGCATTTTTTTAGAATAGAAATTGTTGCCAATAATATGATACACTTCTGAAAAATCTTCAATTATTCTCGTAAATGATTTGAAACGAAACATTCTAAGTAAATTTTTAATAAATTCAATAAAAAAGAAGAAAAAGGAAAATAGGAAAATATATGAAAATACGCGTCATGAAGTATAATAAAACAATTCAATATTTTTCGCATTATAATGGATTCTTCGATATCGTTGCAATTCTCTCGTTGGATAGAGTCAATCGCGGCCTTCCTTTCTTTTAAAAGGTCAAACGGTTACAGTTCGACAAAGTTACTCCTTCTCCCAACATATATTAACATTTCTTATTCGTAGATGCATACCACAAAAACGCACACGTGTGTTGAATGTTTTTAATTATTGCTCATAAAATGAAAATAATCAAATTGTAAATAATGTTTTCGAAAATTTTATTTTTCTAATTTTGAGTTAAATAAATCAAATTCGTTCAATATGAATAAATATGAAATATTCATATGAAGTTATAAATATATATCTCAACTAAAATTATTACGTTATAATAATTTTATATTTAACGTTACCTACGATAATCAAGATAATATTATATATAATTATAAACAAATTTCTTAATATTCTTTTACGTGAACATTTATACTATCCTATTATTATCATTCCAATTATTTATAAATTCATTGATTACAATGATGATTTTAAACAATACACGCCTATATATTCTTTTACAAAAATATTTCTTAAATATATAGGAAGTACACTACTACTACCCATTTATTCTCTTTCTTTTCTTTTCTTCGTAATAATCGTTATAAGAGAATAATGAAACCCTTTGATGAAGAGCTCGTTTCGAAGAAACACAACTGTGACTTCGTGATGAAGCGTTAACAGGAGGAAATGAGTTATAGTAAGACGTAAGAAATGTAGGAAGGAACGCGTTACCGGATGTTCTACATTTTGGAATCCCGTTCGACGATATACATATACACATACCTATATACATACGTTGACAGCTTATATATACATATATAAACATATTCATTCATCCGTTAATATGTAAGTATATGTATCATTACATATATATATATATATATATATATTCAAACATAAATACATATATTATATACTTGCATAAACATTTGTATACATAAAAGCATACATGCACACGTATGTCATATATATAATGCATAAATATATTTTATATACGTGTATACAAACACGCATGAATATTTGTATATATAAAGACATATATACGTACACTATTTTATATACATACATACAGATGATATATATATCTATTATATATATATATATATATATAAGTCATCGAAAGAGGTGAATAACTGTGGTATGTATGAATCCGCCTGATGTATTTTTAGGATTAGTTGGTTGAACGCAATGCAAGCGAGAAGAACGGAGTACAGGAGAAGAAAGAGGAAAATGAGGAGGAGTTGGAGGGGTTGGAGGGGAAGGAGGGGGAGAAGGAGTAGGAGGATTCACGGTTTAGGAATGCCGTCCTCGTTCTCTCCTTTCTTCCTACCTTCTGGATCTTTACCTGGACCACGACGTCATCACAACATCGGGACTTTTCTCAAAGTATAGTTTAAACCTTTTACAAATATTTAATTCTAAAACCTGGTAAGAGTTTTTTTTTTTTTTAAATCTGTGTACTTATAATCCAATTGTTTTTATCTTTCATCTATTTTTTGTTCTTTTTTAATATTATCGTAATTATAAAAACGATCTAATAAGTTATAGATTCTAATTTTGTATTATATATCAATTTACATTGTAATATTTGGAATGATTTATAAGTACTTCGTGTATTGTTTTTCATTATGATTTTACTGGACACGGATGATCTAGCGATAAAATAATGAAGTATAATAAAAACTTTCGTTGAATAATAATATTATTAACGATATTATTATTATTAAGTCGTTGATCTTTGCAACGCGAACTCATAAATTTGACTATCATTTTCTTTTACTATATATATTCTACGATGTTAATCAATCATTACTTTCTTCTTAGAAAATTCATTCACTTAAAGATTTTCTAATCCGTTTCAATTGGAATTTGTAGATCATTGCATACAATTTAATCTTATATCTTTACGAATGATCAACTACAGATTCCTCGAGGCTGTCACATAGAAAGTAAAAGTTCCTTAACGAGAGAGTCAAAGCAACCAAGAGCAATGATGCCAATCGTTATTCGAATAGTTCCAACAGTGTTGAATTTTCTAATGCTCACGATTTCGCTTGGCCATAGGAAATAGTTATTTCAAGCTCGCTTTCACGTCATCTCATCTTGAGATCGTAGTTTCGAGAACCAAAAAAAAAGAAAAAAAAAAGAAAAACTATACGCAACGAATCAAACATTTTTTTTTCTTATTGTCTTGTTGAATAAATCAAAAAATATTATAATAAAAAGTTACTAAGAGATACTTTTGAATCTACAGACTAACACGTTTCTGATCTCTAAATTGTACTATCTTACATTATCAATGAGAAAAAATCATATCTACACTTGTTCTTTTGGTCTACCTGTAAGTTATGTGTGTTATGTACATTATCGCAGGTGTGACCTTTCACAAAACTGAACAAGGAGGATTTCACTCTCTTCGAGAGAAAGAGAATTATTTTCGAAGGAACGTTTAAAAAGGTACAGAAGTTACAAGTGAAGATATTCTTTCTATTATCTAACTTCTAACTTACCATTTGGACAGGTGAAGACGTTCGTTGTAGGAACCTGTAACCAAACGAGAAAAAATAAGTTTTAGTAAATTGTACATTTCTCGTTTGAAAAATCTCACTTAATATAATTTCTTTTAATAAAATATGCGCGATATATATGTTTATTAAAAATGTGTAGAATTTTATTCGTATATAACGTAATGGAAAAATAATTTCATGTTACTACGATTTTTTCGCTACTTTGTTGTTTTGTATTTTTTTTGTTTTGTTTTTCAAAGAAACATTATTTCTCACGTTACGATTAAATATATATAATTACACGTTACATATAATTATATTACAGAACCAAAAATATGAAAGCGGTGGAATAATTCGTCCAACTCGCGAATTCCCACGAATAGTCCCACGAGGAAGTTACTATAATAAGAAAACTAAAATAATGACAAAAAAAATGAGTATATCCCGAAGTTACTCTCGCTCCATTGTAACATGAGATCATTATAAACAATCCGATTACGTATCATACAATTAACTTTATTCACGTTACGTGGGCCAAAGTAACAATAATTCAACAACTGTATAAAAAATTACTTTTTATACCGTAACGATAATTATGAACAAAACGATGCTTCTTAAATTGACATAACAATTTAATGATACGAACAATTTTAAATAATAATAAATCTTGTTTTTCCTTAAGTGTCGTATTCCTATTTTTTGTTTGTTTCTAATTCCCCCCCCCCACCCTCCCCCACTCAACATACGTACACATCGATATCAACCGGTTTTCTCAAAGAACTTGCCCATTTTGATCATAACACTTCCTATAGTTAAAATATGTTGCAAGAACGAACATGTGTTGTGACATTGTGTCGGTTTTAAAGAGAATCGAAGTTTAATTCTGTGTGTATGTATATAAGTATATATACGCATGCGTGCGCGAATGCGTGCATGCCTATCCTGAAATTCACTTTCACCTCGGTCTCAGTATTATACACCACATCAAGTGTGTGGTACTCGATGGAAACTGGCAGGCACTGTAACTTCCACGGAACACCTAAATGCGAATTATTTCGTATTCCGTGGTTTCAATTTCCCAAGGATTCTTCTCGAAGAAAAAGAAATAGAAAAAGAAAGAGGAAAAGGAAAAAAGGAAAAAAAAAAAAGAAAGAATAGAAAAGGATAGTGGTAAATAATAACGGAGAAATAGACAAAACAAAAAAATATGACGAAAAAAGAAGAGAAAAAAAAATAGATAGATAAACCAAAATAAAAAAGAAGCACAAAAAATAATATTAAAATGCAACGAATTTTGCGATAGTTGGAAATAAATTAAATTTGATACAACCATCGCAGTATATTTCGTAAAAGATATTTTATTAATATAATATTGGATAATTCGATGATTTCTCCATTGATTAAAATCATTAACAAAATTATTCACTATTTATTTTTATTTTTCGTTGCGAAGAAAAAGATGAAGAAATAATAATAGATTGATAAGAAAAATATTAAAAAAAATGAAAGAAACATATATATATATACATAAAAATATAATATATAATAGAAAATAAGATATAACTATTCGAATGTTTCTCTCTCTTTCTCTCTCTCTATTCATGACGCATAAAATAAGAAGATAAAAGTAGACACCTACATACTTTCCGTTCTTCTTCGCTGTTCGCCAACACGAACGCGTACTTTTATCCGTCGCATCGAGACCGGACCCGTTATTCGTCACCGTTATGCCATCCGCGCGTAACAGCGACGCGACTCGAAATCGAATTCAATACTAACCGATTTCATCGATCCTCCTTTTCCTCTTTCTTTCAACTACCCCTTTTTTCATATTTTTCTTTCCCATTTTTTCACGGATTTTTTCCACGGATATACATGAATATATAATACAATAGAAAAGTATATTAAATCTGTCATCGTGTTAAATTTAATTAAATTCGTGGAAAAAATATAATGAAAATTGTATTTAAAATGCATCGAATTTGTTTGCGATAAATAACAAAAAAAAATGTTTACTTAATTACAGTGAAATATATATTTCGTAAAAAAGAAATATTTTATTAGACTAATATTTGAATTATTCAATGTTACTCGTTTATTAATTGTCAATTAAATCATACATTTTTATTTAACAGACAAATTATTATTTTTGACATTGGAGAAGAACACTTAACCGTGGTTCGTTAACCTATGACGAATCATACTTTAAAGAAAGAACGTGTTAAATAATTTAATTATATTTTTCTCGTAAGGACGAGATAATTGATATGCAGTTATCGTTTGAAAACTATGTACGACTTGGCGTGCATTGGTAAATGTCGCGTGACCTTGTTTCGTGAATGATTTATAAGAAAAAAGGGCAAGGATAGTAGTTGTACCCGATTGTTAATGATATTATATTATAACAAAAATGAACGAATAAGAAGTTTTTTACGAATCATATTATATTTCGTTTCCTTTGATGATCATTCTAAATAATTAGTTTATGAATTTCGAAATTCTAAGAAAAAATTCTTTCGATCTATCGATTGTGTGATCGATAGAATACTTGAAGAAACTAGTATAGTAATTTTGCAACTTTATTATGCGATATCATGTATAATTATTCTTTATCGTATAATTTTTAATTATTATACTCACCTGAGACGCCGTGAGCCGTACATGGCACAAGAGGAAGGCGACCAGTATGGCCGCCAATTCTCTTATCAGCATATTTCTGAAACAATTAAAACAAAAAAATAGAAAAGTTTGAAATTTTTATTTAAATATATTACAATTAATTTATTTTCATTATTTTTTCCAATTATTTTTCTTTTTTAAATATTATTTTAATATTTTATTTATTGTTACTAATCATTTTATAAAGAAATTCCGAAGTGTAAATTAATTTAAATTTATAATAAAAATGAAAAAGATGGGTTTGAAATATCTTAGAGTGACAAAATATACGGATAATTATTTACTCTATTAATTTTCCTTTCAAATTTCAAGATAATATAATACGTTGTATGGATCATTGATGATTTCTATAGTTCTTGGAATTTTCAACGATAAATCATAGAATTAACATTGAGAAAAAAAGATACAAAGTTGAGTTACAACGATTGAAAGTATGCGGAAGATATCTTCGTGGCAATTCACCGAGTATAGAATATATATATATACATACATATACAAATACTCGTAAAATTCCTTACGGTTTCTGCAGTTCGATCGCTTCCCTCTGACTCCCCTCCCCCCTGTCACCCCGTATAACGCATATTAAACTTTGTCCCCGTGTTTGACTCCTTCGTTATTCATCGATAATATTTTTTTTTAAATTCGCCAGGCGTGAAATTTGGTTACATCGAAAATAAATTCCACATTTTTAAAAAACACGTTAATAATTGTATTATAATATAAAAAGAAAAATCATATCGCTTATGAAATTTATTCAAAAGATTATCCTTACTTGATACGTTATTAATTTGTCAAATTTTATTTTTATATTAAATATTTTTATTAAATTTTATTATTTATATTATTTATATCATTTATATTTGAAAATTTTATTTTTATATTAAATACGTTTTGATCGCATATTTGTATTTAAAATGTACGATATAAAATTATCACCAAGCATAAATGAATATAACAAAATGAATATAAGATTGATTAATTTTCCGAGAATCCGTTATAATGATAGGGCAAAATAAATCGTGAAAATCAATGCGCGGGAAGGAAATCAAGTTTTGAGTGAGAAGTTAACAAACTAAACGACCACCCAGAATGTAACGTGATGTAACGGTATTGTTGAAGTTAATCGAAAGACGTTGTTGTACCCTATAAGAGACATATGGCTATCAGGCGTACATCCGCCGGAAAACATGGCATCAAACCTTGCACCTGACCATATTATACCTGATAATGTGTTTTTTTTTTCCCCAGACATTCTAAAAAAAACTCGCAAGTTAAAAGTTACACATTTTTTCCACACAATATAAATAACGGTTAAATATAATAATTTCATGATTTCAATTAATAACATACTTATATGTGATTATTTTGTTGTTGTTGTTGTTGTTGTTGTCAAAAAACCCATGAGAATAAGTGTGAAAAGTTTAGTCGATGTATTCGTATATGATAATTGTATTCTTGAAGATATATTTAAAATACTCTGTTCAACTTCGTGGATAAAGTAAGACTGCGTAACGACTTTGTCAAAGGAAATGACGTACTTAACGAAATACGAATGGCGTCGGAATAGAACAAAAGTCGGTCACGTACATATCACATATATCATTTTTTTTTTCTAAAGAAAACTAGTGTTACGACACTTTTCAACTCGATACGAAATAAACTTTGTGAAATATTTTACCAATATTATAATAATATTGTATTTTCGCTCGCCATTTTTATTAATCGTCTAAATTTTTCGTAAAAACATCGTGTGTTGCCCTTTGAAAATATATTTCAATTTTTTTAATACTTAAATTTTATATGTCATTCGTGAATACACTTATGTTGCATCTCGAATAAGATTCTAAGGTTTTCTTTTCAGTGTACTCATAAATTTTAAGGTTTCTTTTGTTTTAAAATGAAAATTATGTAACAAACTTTTCAAATGATCGATCCTAACAGATATATGTAAAATATCTTTTTCTCGTTAATAATTTTAATCAAAAACAAACATGATCGTAACGAGTTCATCGAATGTTTTCGTTACATTCAACATACTTTTTAAAAGTGGATCTTTTATGATAGTAATTTACCGTTAATATGTATACGTTCCGTTTCATTAACGAATGAGGGTCGATCATCTACGTGATATTTCTTTTTTTTTTTTTTAGTTCGACAAAAAGTTTGCAGGAATCTTTACGAACAAATATATAGAAACTAGAGTCCTTTGCGTGAAATAGAAAAAAGGAAAAAGAAATCTAGTAATCGGTTTCTTCTTCGCGTGTTTACGCGAAACTTGGTTTCGCTTAGTGAACAATTTTCTTCCCAACAGGTAGAAAATTATTTTCCACTTAAGATGAATCTATTCGATGGATCAGGTTCTTTACAATAAGAACCTAATTAGCAATAAATTCCTATTTTAAATGTAATTCATAGTAACAACAACCAACAAAAGATTTTTTCTTCTTCGGTTGAAATTGTTCACGTTCAATATATAAACAAAAATTATTTTATAACAAATATATAAATCAAAAGTAATAATCAAACATTTTGTTATGTTTGATAATCTTAAATAAAACGATAACCAAGTTGATAGAACAATGATTTTTTAATAGTAAGGGGTCCATCAGGATTATACAGCATGCAAGTAGTAAAACCTAATACTCAACTGTTTCCAAGAAAACGAAGGGATAAGAGTTTTTACAAGCATTCTTATATAACTATAATATTATATAATTCGTTTCAAATATAAAAATAAATTGTTAATTAAATTCAAGAAAAAAGAAGGTTTTTGAAAATTGTAAAAATTATTGGCCTGATACAAATTAATACCTAATTATCATCATTGTAATCTATTTTCATTTGATTATCTAAGATCGTAAAATGAATAACATTGTAATAAAAAAATGAGACAATTCATCATGATGATATACATATTCACATCAATATAAAACTGCATAATATTAAATTTCCATTCTTGCTGCAGATCATCGCTACCAGACAACAGACACTACTGTGTTGATAATAAATTGAAATACGAAGAGGGGGATACACGATTCTAAGGTCGCTTCGTTTTTTGTGGTTTTATAAGTAACGTAAGAGTATATGTGTATGTATGATACTTTAAACTCGTATTACATTACCACCGTTACATTTCTTTGTCTCTTAATAAATATATATAACAAATACTTACATTAGACACATATACATTTTCATAGAAATATATAAATACATATACATAAATATTATATATATATATATATTTATGCACGAATATGTTCAAACATAATTATTTTTTATCTTTATCTTTCAAACAGATTTGTTTATAAGAGGAACCTTATCAATTTTTATCCGAAAGATTATTTATTTTTATTCGTTTTCTTTTTATATTTAAATATGTAACATAGATGATGAAAAAGGCAAACGTGTTTAACAAAATTCATCGACATTGGAATCCACTTGTTTATAATTTATCAGGGATAAAAATAACCGACACGTTCTGTTCAACTGTTTTTTCGCGTCTATCAGTCACACAGTCTTCGTCGTCACTAGAGCATGACGTTTCCCACAGTATTACAGTCAATCATCTTATTACATTAAGAATTCTATTTGATTGATTTAATTTAAACACAAAATAATTTAACTCTTTCGTAGCTGGACTATGTATTATGATAATAAATAATTTCGGAATCTGATTTTGGGGATATTGATTTTTCAAAATTAATTAAATTTCATAATAAGTTTATTTTATTATTAAATTTAAACTTGTTTTTATATATAGTTATATTTATTAATTATGCAGCATCAAGTATTGTCTCAAGAATAATATTAAAATGTTTGTAGGTTTACTGATATAATTTATTATTGTTATATCATTGATATATTAATCAATTTATTTAAATATTGAATATGATGAATAAATGACAAGATATTTTTGTTGGATTCAAATATTGTAGGATGCATTTCGTTAAAAAATGAAATTGACAAGAAACGAAGTTGAGTTCTTTAACGAACGAAAATAGAAATACCGTTTGATATCATCCGATCACGATTTCCTGTTGGTCATACATGGATTTCCGTTTGTCGACGAATTTGGTGATCGTACAGACGTAATATTTATCTACGAAGTATTGAGTTACGATTTTTAACGAAGAAGTACGTTACTGCATTTAAATATGCAGTTTGTAAAGATCCCATGTATGCATCGTGTCACTCAAACGGGTTCACGAGTTATTGAAATAATAACATCAACGTGACACGAATACTAAAGTATTCTACGCATACTAACGAATTTTTCTTCATTTTTTTTTTTAAATAAAATCAATCAAGATCATTTTGTTTTCTTGTTTTTATTACTATCATAATCATAATTAATAATTATTAATATTATTATCTTGCCAAAAATAATATATAATATATTTTATTTCTATTTTTATAATATCAATAGTAATAACAATGTTTTTATTCATCGATTAATATTTAGTATTTAAATGTTACTTATTCCAAAATAATATCATTGAAATTTCTTATCATCATTCATTTTCGTATTATCTCGTTCGAAAAAATCTTTAATAACTAATTAATATTATTTATTAAACAAGAAAATAATCAAATATAGTCGATTAATATTATATATAATTTATTTTCAAACTATAAGATATAAGAAAAAAAGCGATTATTTAATCGTATGAGAGTATTGTTAGCCTTTCTACGTTCTCAAAGAAGTACAGATGAAAATGATTAAGGAACAGCATTCATGTTTCTTGCTGCAAGGAAGAGGATGGTGAAGAATTTTGCAAGGATCAGAGTAGGACTGCGATTTTACTTGTGGGTGTAAGCTTAAAGAATAGGTCGTGGGAAATATACGGTAAAGGAAGTTCGAGCAAGAACTTGTCTTTGTGCGTTGCAAATAGCTAAGAGTAAAGTTCCCCTTTTACCTTTTCATTCGTTTACCATTTAACGTAATATCGTAAACGTTCATCAAAGAATTCTCAACGTGTTGTCCACGTGCGTACAACATTTTCACCTGCTTTATCTTTTCCTTTTTCTTTTTTTTTTTATTCTCGTAATCGACTCACGAACGAATTCATGTGCAAGTTAAAAATAATTCATATGATTTGCTTTAGAATATACTTCAATGATGTAATAATTATATATACGCGACCACATAGGCTTCTATATAATATATATTTTAATTAGAAAAAAAATTGTTATGAATCTCTTGATGTAATATTTTTGACGTAATGTTTTTCATTACCTTTCAAGCATACAACTTATTATTTACTAGAAACTTTCTAGTATTGAATTATGAGAGCATCGTTAATGATGTATTTGAAAATAAAGTGAATTCATGTTAAATAAAAGTGTGTGTGTGTGTGTGTAAAAGAAAATAAAAGAGAAATATTAAAATAATAATAATAATTTAAATAATACTCTTAGAACATTGGTATTTCGATGAATCATACGGATAAATTAAATTCTTAGCTAAGTAAGAAGATATTTTCTCGTATATAAATATTACCATGTGTAATAAGTATATTTAATTGATTTACGAATAAAATTAATAATATTAATTTAAAACAATCAATTTTTCTGATTCCAACAATTATTTTTTTGAAGTTTATTGTCATATTTTTGCGTGTATACGTATATTATATCTTTCTATTGCAAAAATTTAAGAAAAGAACAATAAATGAATATTTAACGATATTCGATATTATCGATTAATAGACGTTACGAGTAAAGAATTAACGTTAGCCAATCGTTCGACTTGAATAACATTGAAATTATCTTGGGAATCGTGAAATTCCGTTAGCAACTCCATTAGCAATATATTATGGTGTATAATATAGTTGGATGAACGTCCCGCTTTCGAATAAACGTATTATGTAATTACTTGCTTTATCATAATGCACACGTAGGTACTAAATGAATTTTATTTACAATTAAAGTACAATAATATAACTTTTATCGTAATTTTTTTTGCACATATCCAATGTAACAAATTAATTCGATCAAATTTAATATTTTTTTTATAACGTGTCAAGATAAAATGTTAACGATCTCATTTGTTATAATTTGTAAATAATTGTTATTTAACACGTAACCCATTTTATATATTCTCACATGTGATAATATAATATATAATTAAATTATTTTATATTATTAAGTTGAACCAAATGTTCATGCATTTATCGTGTTATTTCAGATAGTTCCATTTTTTTTTGTTTTTGAAAAAATTTACTTTGTAAATATTAATTTGAAAACACGCGAAAATTTTTCAATCACCCTAATATCATCATCGTTTAATCCAAATTTTTCTATTATTCGAGAAAGTAAATAAATCCACGTGGTGATGACAGAGAAGAAGATTTTCACGTTTTACGGGGGTTCGTT